TCGTCGTCACACAGTGCTAGCCATATTTTGCTGTGTGGGATGTGCAGCCTCAGGCGGCTTTCTCACACCTTCAGTAGCTTCACACCGGGGTCATCAGCATATGTAAATAAATTGCTTTGTAAGAGATACTTTAAATACAACACCGGAAATCCAGCTTTCATATGAGACATACAAACAACATACCCAAACATAGCTGGTGCTAACCATACCTTTGTTGAAAAGCTAAAGATCTATGCAAACTCTGAACACAACCACATACGGCTATTCAAAGCAAGCTCTGATACTAACGCAAAGGAAGCCCTAGAGGGGAAATAAACCCCTATATACAGAGTTAGCCTTGCCCATCTAATTCTGTGAAAGAGGAAATGAAAAAAAAATTAATCGCAAGCATATCTAGACAAACTACTACACCTCTTGTCCCCTTCTCTTACAGAAAACTTTACACAGACAAAGCATACTCATGGAAAATGTTTAGGTTCTCTTCCTTAAATACACACGATGTCATTAAAACAGGAATCAAGTGTGTTTTGAATACTTTATAGCAAGCTACTTCCTTATTTCTTTTCTTTAAACCAATTTGCATAACAGAAGCCTGAAAGTTTGACTTTCTTTGGAATCACCATCCATTAAATCATAGATGACATACTGGAGGTGGCCCGGCTAATTCTTCCCATTTTGTAGTTAGCTGTTCTACAAGCTGCTCTGTGAGGGTGACATAAGGATTAGCCTTTGTTCGATTTGACACAACAGCTTCTGTTTTTGAAAAGAACAGAAAGCTTTCCTCGGAAACTCTGACAAAGAGGAAACAATGAACAGCTATGATATGAGGGAGTGAGCATGTTGGACACCGTATTTATATCACTTGGGATCAATTTATTCCTACTGATTACAACACTTATCTTCCTTGAAAGCACATCTTCTCACAGTTGCCACTGTAAATGAAATTCACATGGTCATGTCTCCACTTTATCCAATAAGGGCTTGGATTTAGTTTTAGATGTGTAGCCGTATACCCGAGATTTATTTATAAATCGTTATGCTGCTATGCATCTTCTGGACTAGCTGTAGAAAATATAAGACAAGTGCTACCTCACACAGAATGAAACGCTCCAAACTTAAGCATTAACGTGTCGATGCTGTAATTGCCGCCTGTGTTAATAAATATGGCAAATAAACAGACAAACCTACAAAAAAAACAAACAAAAACAAAACAAAAACCACACACACCACTACAAAAAACCTAACCTCCCACTGCTTTTACAGCACCTGCATGTGGCTTTCTCTTATCTTACCCAGGATTCTTGTTTTGCGTCTCCCTCCACCCACAGACAGCTCCACCACAGCCCCCTGGGAAGGCCATTTGCTTCAGCTCTATGTATGACAGGCCAAATGTACAATCGTCGGGTCACTTTGTCTCACAGAATTCAATGAAACAACAAATTTATCGACAAAACAACACAGCTTACTGCGGTTCAGGTGACTGTCAGAAGAACAATTGACTGCAACAAGATCCTTTCACAGGGAAAAGCCCGAAAATAGACTTGAAGAAAACCCCAGCCTGTCACATAGCCTCCACAGGACTGCAGCAACTGATTATTTTGTGAAAACAGTGGAAAGAAATAGACAAATATAACACTAAGCTGCTGTGAAATGTAGCAGGGATGGCACACACAAACAGAGCTGAGTTTTCAGCACTCGTCTCCCAGCCATTTATCTGCCTCATAAACAAAGAGCCACACACTGGCAATGAATGAAACTCACACAAGCCTGGAAATGGAAGACATTTCTTGGCTCCAGCTATCATTTCACTGTAGAGGTGACTGGGTTGCTGGGAACACTTAGATCCGGTAAATGACACGCTGATGCCCGCCTCTTCAGTTTACGCATCCATCCGTTTGTCTGGGCGGCTCGACTCTACACTCGCTCATCTGCATCCTTTTTGGCGTCTATTAATACAGAACTCAAGCTAATGCTAACCACACACACACACACACACACACACACACACACACACACACACACACACACACACACACACACACAGCGGTGACAGAAAACATCATGTAGCATGCGAGGGCACTGTGTCTTTCCACCCATCTATAATTAGATAAATACAGAAGTTCTCGTCCTATTGTCCAGATAAAAATCACACACACAAGTCTAATTATATGCAACCTCTGTAATACCACGGGGAGAAAGGTCAATGCCATAACGATAATGCCAAGCAAACACACTCCTAAGAATAAGCTTAAGGGCTGGGCTTCCTAGGATTGTGTGTTATATGGTTATAGCCACACTGATGTTAATATTTGAAGCAAGAATGCGAACACTTGAGGTCATTTCTGTGAAAAACAAAAAGGTCAGCACAGACTGACCCTCAACTGACTTCTGATGAAACATGGAAACCCTCCAATACAGTCGTGTCAGTGGAAAGATATGGAGAAGGAACACAGCATGAGTAATTGGATTGAGCTATTTTTCCACATTTGAGTGGGAGTGAAGGATGAGGGGGAGGGGAGAAACGGAGTGCAGGTAGGAGGCAACCGTACCAATTACTGGTGATTACTGGCCACAGACACCAACCGTATGAAATGTGGTTATTAAGCAGACAGATGTCAAAACTGCACCTGTAAAACCCTAGTTATGCAGTGCTGTGATTGAGAGGACAAGGATGTTAACCCAGTGTTTACTCTGTCAGCATTCGCAGCTAGCACACATCATTGCAAACCTGCAGATTTAGACTGTGTTTGTACCTGGGCTGTGTTCATATCCATACATGTGTATGTACAACATGTGCGCTGCGAAAGGGGACACAAGCAGGCTTCATGAAGTGAATTACTAATTAAAACTGTTTTTGAATTGCTCTTCTGCAAATGTTTCATTTACCACATACTTAGAGCAAACAAATCCCTGCGAAAAAGTCAGATGCTTCTCCAGGGAGTCCAACCCTGTGGATGAACCCCACCACCACTTGAACTACAGCTGGGAGCTGTGTTCAAGTGCAGCCTGGTATAGAGGCACGTGAGCCAGTTATTCTCCTGCTTAGAGTGGCCTGCCAGTTCACAGTGGATCTCCAGAGCAGAAGGATGTCTGACCCTGGAATAAGATCGTATCCGAAGAAGCAGCTGCACAATTTCCAGGGCCACTATAACAGCCAGGGAACCAGGCAGTAGGGGGCAGACAAGATGGGAAGAGCCAAAATAAGACCAAGAGGACTTGAGAGGTTCACTAGTAAACTGATAGAATTGTTCTGACAGATTGAAATTAGATTAAAATGCTGAAACTATCTGCCACAGCTACTTATCAGGCAGTTAACAAACGTAGGCAACCTGCCTGTGTGTGAGAAACACTGCATTTTATTCCCATTTATCACCTGGACTAGCAAGCACCATCACAAATCTGCTGATTCTCAGTGGAGAACTTTTGAGAAGGCTGACTTTAGGACTAATTTCTGACCACTTATTTTAGACTTTTTGAAAGAAATTTGTCAAACTGCTTCATCTCAGTCTACTTGTAAAAGGAAATGAAGGCATGAGCGAGGACAGAAACAAAACAGTCAGGGCTGGACTGATAAAATTAAAACACTAATGCTGCATGTCAGCAACTGTTAATTTTATATGCTGTTCATCAAATCATCATGTGTGTTCTTAAAAAAAAAAAAAAAAAAAGACTTACAGATCAGCTCACAGAGCCACCACTTCCTGCACTGAGGACAATATTACATAAACAGTCTCAAGCCTGGCTGAAGGTTGTACAGAAAGGAAATGACTGCCAAGGCCAGCGGCACCTTAAATGATTTTACAACATTAACGAAAGTCAAGTGAGAAGCGGGG